ACAGTGTTTGCAGGCTGTTATATTAATTACAGACATCAACACTAAGCTCAAAGAACTGCAATCTATTCCACAACGCATGCGTGACAGTGCCGTTGGTACAAAGTGTTCGTCGATCTGGAAAGGTTAATGTCACACATTCGCTCTAAACTGCGAGCCACATTCCTAGTGTTGTTGAAATTGACAAATTTAGCCGAGTCTATGGAGTGTAAATACACTTAGTAAGAATATACTTTGAACTTTTTGTCCCTTCACAACCGTCTACATTGTCTCCTTCCTTAACACCAACGCACAGTCCTACCCTTGTAAACAATCACTAGGTATTAAATAATTTCGTTGTGTTGTTTTACGTGTCTGTTCGTGGAGTAATTGTTGTTTCGTCGTCAAATGGTCAGCGCTTTGGCTGTAACTGTGGCACCAAAATCCACCTAACGCGTTGCTCACCTTACGTCTTTATGTCTATATGGGGATTTGCACAACACAGTAAATGTGTTATATAGGAACAAAGTATGTTAAAGATATTTCAGTGCATAATTTGTTTTACCTCCAGTGCAAGGCATTCTCTCCATCTTCATAAATATTTATCAATTTAAATTGAGTCCAATGAACTAATTAACTAGCACAGTGCTCAAAAGGTTATTTTAAAACGTTCATACAACATTCAATCTGCTAATATAAACCTTTGCTTTCAGTTTGCATTATGAAATTTATGATGGAGGTTATTATATTGTTGCGCTGAAAGTATGTTTTATAATCGTTAACACATGACGGCAATTATTTTCAAGTATGGAAATTATGATGGAGGGAATTATGTTTCATAAAAATATGATTACACTGCTGACGAAATACAAAAGTGTTTTGTTTATCTGTGTGGAAACAATTTACAATAATTGAAAGAATACAATGACATACCAGTTAATGGAATTTGATAATTTGATACAAAGTCTGATACGACTGCTTTTGAAAGGGAAACCAAGAATACGAGACGATAAATTCAACTCAGTGAGAATTGAGTGCAAAGAAAAAGCAGAAACAAACATGGTGTGCAAAGTAAAATAAATACTGATTGTGAAATATGGGTTTGAAAATAAGTTAAGTGGAAAATGGTGTTTGGTATACTAAATTCATCTCTGAATATAACACAAACAGCAAAAAGCCAAAAGCAACAAATTCGTCATCCCGAGACACGTCATGTTATCAAAGGCTACTTACTTTCTCAAAATCGACTGTTGCTATTACCTTAAATTACAAACAGGGTAACATTAAAACTCAAATACTGAGAGCGCTACTAATATTTCACAAATAATATAATAACCTAAAACAATTGACTTTTAACCATAAATGGACCAATAGGTATTCACAATCAAAACACACACACAACGAGATTTAATAGATAATGAGACCAATATACCACAAAGTGAATCCCACTATCTGTCTCCTGCCCCGGATTCCGTCATTACAAATCTAGCTTCCAACGCCCAGTACGAGTCATATATTGCAAGGAAATTAATTTGTAAAGTAGTAGTTTAAGGTAGGTTAGACCAAATGTACGATTTTGTAAAAACAGTTTGAAATGGTTTCCCGTTTTACCCATTTTCTCGCAACCTAATTAAACAAACAAACAAACAAACAACAGACAAGTCTGTATCATGAAAATCTAACAACACATATGATATACTAGTATACAAGTTATTTACACGAATTACGAACCTATATTAAATGTATTTATAATACGGATACTCACGGTTGTCACGAATTATTAAAGAATTCTAACGAATAGTATATATTTTTATGAAATAATGCTTTAACATGAATTGCCCATATTTTGCAAGTTATCGTACAATTAAAATAATTCGTAACAGGTAAAAAATCCCAAAGTTGAGACGTGAAGTCTTAATCAAAAATTTTGAAAGTTTCGAAACACAAGAACGTAATATTGTTTCCGCTCTGATATATTTGGTATAATGCCCACAAACGACTTTAAGGCAACTCATACCACCTACTTGGGGTTAAAGTTCACTGCGTTACATACCAGTACAACTCAACCTCACTGTACGTCTCCTGTCCTGGTTCCCGGCACTACAAATCTAACTTCCAACGACCAGCTCAAGTCTTATATTGCAAGGACATTGCGTAAATAATAGTGGTTAATTTAAGGTAGGTATGACAAAATGAATGATTTTGTAAAACTATATAAACAGGTTGTAAGATCGTCAAGTAGGTGTGACCACAGTCACTCTACTAGGACTGTGGTATGACCGACCCCTGACGAGACCGCCATTTTGTTGTATATTTTTTGCGGTGAAATCCCACGGTGTTGATATTGTTTTGAGTGGAAATGAAATACACATGAAATCAAAACAAATTACATGGCAGTCAACATGTCGATTTTTCTTACCTTATTTCCGGGTTCATTGAACTAGTTTGTATGATTAACAATGCATAGCATTCAAAGGTGAACACGGCGCATATTTGGTTCCAAAATCTATACAACGTTGTATTAAACACTCATGAATAAATTATGTACGTTAATTACAATCATATTGTGAACTGCCCATTATTTGAAACGCCGCATTCTTGTTGATCGCGTGGTCACATGTTTGGTCACATGATCTATTTTATCAGTTAACTGAACAGGTCTCAAGGTCAATACACGAACAGTCGAGCAAGATTGTATTTGAATCAACAATATCCAATGCTTTCCTGTATTTGAAGGGAATCCTATATTAAACAAACGCACCAGGGTGTTTTACAATAATAATAAATTCTGGTCATTTGTATTTCGACAGCATGGCAGCGTGTTTTCAAATGTCGTGTGCCGGTGATCGTTTTATGTGCAACTGAAATACAAACGTCTACGACGCGCTAACCACACTATTTGCTTCTCTCATTTCAAATCACCACTGAACATATATTCAATATTTCGGCATTTCTTGGTGTTAAGGACTCTACCCTGTTCATTATTGCATGATAGCAGGGCCCGTCGAACAGGGTACTGTTCAGTACAGTACTGCGTCTCGTCCATTATTGCCCGCATTATTGTCCTGTTATCATGCAATATAGGCATTGTGTCGTCCTTTATTCTCTTAATATCAAATTACATAAACTCTCACTACCTCAGTTTTAGGATGGAAGCAGTGTTTGATCACCGACATTTTCCTTGTCAATAACACCGCTCAATATTCCAAGTAATAGAGCTAAATCCGATGTGAATAATTCTCCATTGCGCAATAAGTTGAAGCTCATAGAAAACGTATTGATACAATGAGAGGGATAAAAAAAACAATAAATTGTGCACATACCTGAAGTCAAATTATAAACCTACGCCCAATGTAAATGTGAAGACACTTTATTTTCGAGCTTACTTCTGAATTCGAATTTACGCAATCCAAACTCATTATAATAATCACAAGGTTAGTTTGAGATTTTCATCAAATCATACAAAATTGGAATGCGGTATTTAATTCTTCACTTCTCAGCTAATTTATATAAGTTATGTATGTATATAAGTATGGATTAAAATAGAATATATTAATAATATCAATGATTACAAATATTTCATATTGTCATATGACTACATTATCACATGAAATGACATCTATCAGTTCAGAAATAATAAGTTGGATTGGTGCCCGACATAAGTACCAATTGAAAACAAAACAAAACTGGTGATATAATATGAAAGTGTGTGTTAAAAAAAAATCCTGGTGAAAAATGTATTGCAACAAAACTACCGATATTTTAATAAGCTTCTACGACTATACTAACATGTATAGAGTTCAGTGATTATATTATTTTCAGAAATACCCAGGAACGAAAGATCATTTCAGGTGCTAAATCATGAAATAATTCTGACAAATAGTATCTATTTTCTATGGAATAATGCTTTACAATGAATTGCTATGGAAATAGTTCAAAAAGGGCCAATATTTTGCATGTTTCAGACAGCTTTTCTCTTATAAAATTGTTCGTACATGAACACAAACCTTAATCAACAATTATGTAAACGAACTACCTTAAGCCAACTCAAACAACCGTCTTGGGGTTAAAGTTCACTACGGTAGAAACGAATACACATTAAACTGAACCTCACTATCGGTCTACTGTTCTGGTTCCAGGCATTTCAAATCTAGCTTCCTAGCGTCCAGCACGAGTATTATATTGCAAACATATTACATGTAAATTGGGGTTGAATTTAGGTAGGTGTGATAGATTTCCACGTGTCGAGTGGAACTGAAACACTCATTAATTCAAAACAAATGACTTGGTAGTTAGTCGCCGGAGTTATAATGATTTCAACAAATATTCAACCAAAAATGTAATAAGTAATTTCTAATGTCCTTATTTCCGGATGCTTTGAACGATGCTTGCCACATGCAGTCTTGTTATCAGATTAACAAGATTGTATTTGAATCAGCAATATCCATTGCTTTACCATATTTGTACGGATCCTATATTCAATAAACCCACCATGAATTTGTATCTATGTTGTCATCAAAGATAAAAAAGTGGAGCTTTTCATGTAGATTGTCCGTCGTCATCTGTCAAGAATTGTATTTATTACTTCTCAAATTTTGTAAGTTAGTTTGTTCTCTTTGTTAACTGTCACCCCAATTATTTTGATACTTAGTATGTAGGTATCTTTAATTCTCTATTTTTAGTGAATATTTTTTTTCATTTTACATTGTTGTAGATGTTTCATTGTGGCGAAAAACTGTTCGGCTATGTGTTAACATCGCCGCTAATTATAGATTATAGATGCATGTTGGCCAACATTGCTGATTTAACATTTTAACAATCAGGATTTTGAATATTAATTGAATTCAGCGGTTAGACAGGTTATTTGTTAAAAATTAGAAATACTCCAAATAGTCACTTAATGTGCGCTTAATTTATTTATTTATGTCAGGTAGTTGGGGGTTATCTATTTTAGATATGAAAATATGAATTTAATTTCACTTTATTTTTCCCAATTTTCAGATTCAACCAATAACCCTCTCATAATGGCCAGCAATATTGGAGCCACGTCACACAAGCAACTTATGGACGATATTGATAAGAAAATCCTTCTTTGTCCTATATGTCAAGAAAGATTCACATCACCAAAGATATTACCATGTGTTCATACATTCTGTGAGAAATGTCTGAAGTCGTGGGTTGAAAAGAAACATGGTCAACTGACTTGTCCATCTTGTCGAAAACCACACGCCGTTCCTCCAGGTGGTGTCAGAGCACTAAATAACAATCTGTTTGTAAACGAGATGCTGGAAATGTTCTGTAACGTCAAGATTGGTCAAGGTGTGTTGAAGTGTGATGTGTGTGCATCTGCAGCCTCGTTCTGGTGCAAAGACTGCGCCGAGTTTGTTTGTCAAGATTGCAGTGTACCACATAATCGTATGCGAGTTACGAAAAACCACAAAGTGATCACAGTAGAGGAGTACCAAGAATTAGAGAAATCTGATCAGCGTCATCTCATCCGACCACGATTCTGTACAAACCACCCTGACAACCAGCTGGAGTTATTCTGTGATTTGTGTCAAGTTACAGCTTGCATAAAGTGTGGTATGATCGATCATAAAGGAATCGATCATAAAATGATATCCATGGGAGATGCCGTGAATAAATATTCTCCTAATTTACATAGTCTTACAGATAAACTGGGAAGAGCAGTGACGTCACTGAATTCATGTAAAGATAAACAGGAACAAGTAAAAAAACAGCTCAAACGTAAACAAATATCAGTAGAACAAGAAATAAAGCAACACGCAGCTAACATTATTAAACGTGTAAAACAAGAAAAGCAGAGACTTCTTGCCAAGGTGACTGAGATATGTGGTAAGAGAGAAAGAATTACAGGCACAGATGGAACACATCGAGTTGGATTTAGGACGAGCAGAAAGTATGCAGTCTTACGCTACCAACTTTCTTCACCATGGCAACCCAGCTGATATTCTATCACAAAAACAGAATTTAGAAGAAGGACTGATGGAGTTAGGACATACATTCCTAATAACGCAGTATGAAATAGGAACAGACATTAAATTCAAATTTCAGGAAAGTGTTTCACCACATACGTTATCCATTGGTGAAGTAAACTGTGAACGTACAGAGAGCCCCCCTCAAAGAGAGGTTGAATGTAAGTCCGAAGTTATCACTGGAAACATGCCACATGGTACGATGAAGAATAGTGTTAATCAATGGGGCGCAATATGCATCGATTACAATATCCCGGATGGTGTTCAAGGGGTAAGACACATATAACCAATATATAATCACCATTGCTACATATTCATTACATGATGCACGGTTTCACAACTATCTTAATTACTGTATGTATTATTTTTTCTGGGAAACATGTGCAGTACAAATCGCGATTACCGACAGACATGATGTTTTGATTTTGCGCAACGGGCGCGTCCAGGACAATAATATAAAAAGTCAAATTACCCCGCCATTAGTATCCAAAGTGTTGTTTCCTTTACAGATAAACTGAGTAAATGATCTCTCTAAAATATTTAAATTATAGACGCGGACACGTACGAGTACAATATTTCCACTGCTCTGTCATAGTTACGAATGTGGTAGCAATTCTATTTTGTTATCATTGTTACACATACACACACTCACATATACACAATTTATTTCAATTAAAATATTATGATTAAACCCTGACATATCTTTAGAGTGCTATAACGATACTCACGACACATTTCCACAAAACATATTTCAGAATAAATAACTTTGTTGATGTCCGTCCTCATTTCTCACATTTGAGATTCGGCATTGCAAGTTTTCAGCTCCGCTGTCGACTTTGTCGAGCGGAGCTTATCATATGAGTGATTGCCCGTCGTCGTCGTCTGTCGTCCGTCTTTCGTGTCAACTTTTTACTTTTTCGACTTCTTCTTGGAAATTACAAGCCTGAATGCTTTGATACTCGGTGTACATGTACCTTGGGTGGACCTTCTAATTCTCTAATTTTGGTGAACATTTGTGTTATTTTTGGTAAAAAGTGATATTTTTGACTTCTTTTTAAAAATCGTAAGTCTGATTGCTTTGATATTACACATATAGGTACGTAATGTAAACCTCTCTCAGATTAGTTCATTTTGTGATGATATCTTTAATTCTTTAACTTTGATGAGTATTTTTGTCATTTTTGGTAAAAAGTGATATTTTCGACTTCTTGTTAAAAACCGCAAGTCTGATTGCTTTGATATTACATATATAGGTACTACATGTGAACCTCTCTCAGATTTTTTTCATTTCGTGATGATATCTTCAATTATCTAATTTTGATGGATATTTTTGGTAAAAAGTTGTATTTTCGAAGTCCGATTGCTTTGATACTATACATATTATTCATTTTCTAATGATATCTTCAGTTCTTTAATAGAAATGTGCATTGCTAACAGCGTAGCTATCTCGCAGACAGGCTGCTTGTTTGTGATATCCTGAATTATCCAAAAGCATTATAATGCGCTTGTTGGATTTATTGAAGATATTATTCCACAACTGTAAACCACAATTAAACGGAGACAATTCTGTATTGAAAATAGACAAAGAATATTTGTATTAAATTGTAAGATGTTGTTTAGCAGTTACTTACTAAAGTTTACCAAATTGTCGATTAGAACGTGAAAATATCGTTAACAGTGATTAGCTTTTCATGGTTAATTATTACAAATCAAATACAATTAACATCACTGATACAGCGCCATCTATTACATTACATAGTTGTAAAGCACTTGACGTGATCAATTTGCAATCAACATAATTTACGATTACTATCACCAGGGTGTGATGTTATCTCCCCACCTTAATTAATTGTTTGTCTCAAATTATGTCTAAAATGTTTCTCAGAATAAAATTGTTTTTGTTACCGGATAATGTACTACAAGTATATTTTCACAACTATTATTGTATTGCCATTTCCACTCCTGGCATTGTTATAACCCGTCCGTATACTATTATTGTCATGATATTTGAACTACTCATATCATATTAATATTTCTAATAATAGTGTCGCATTGTTACTTCCATTACTTGCATCTTAGTTATCATATTACTATTATTATCAGTCTGTTACTTTCACTACTAGTAGCTTGTTGACATTTGAAATAATAGTATCATATTGACACGTTCCCTACTAGCATCGTATTGACGCATACGGTATTAGTATTGAGTACTAGAATTGATACTTTCATTACTTATGTCTGAGTAATTCTAATACTTAACAGTACTTGCCTGATACTTTCGGTATTAGTACCGTATAAATGTTCTAACTACTAGTATCGTGTTATTTATTTCATTACTTTATTTTAGAAAAACTATTTAATTACTTGTGTTTGCAATAATGTTACTACTAGTAAATGTTTTGTACCTTTACCACGAGTATCGTATAAACATTCACACTAGAAAGTAGTTCATGCATGTTCATATTGTGTCGTATTGATATTTTCATTACTTGTATATTAGTAATAATACTGCTGAAAAAAATTGCAAGATTCATTATCGTATGAATGCTTACAATAATAATATGGAATTGATATTTTTGCTGTATCTGTCTGATACTTTCACTACCAGTATTGTGTTGATACTCATACTACTTATATTGATACTTTCACTATTAGTATCTAATTGATACATTTTTACTGTGTCTCCCTGATACTTTCACTACTAGTATTGTGTTGATACTCACAATACTTATATTGATAATTTCGCTATTAGTATCGAATTGATACATTTTTACTGTATCTGTCTGAAACTTTCACTAACAAAATTGTGTTGATACTCACACTACCTAAGTATATTGATACTTTCACTATTAGTATCGAATTGATACATTTTTACTGTATCTGCCTGACACATTCACTACCAGTATCGTGTTGATACTCACATATTGTTACTTTCACTATTAGTGTCGTATTGCTATTTGATAGTATTTCAAATGATTTACTATATTGTATTGCAGCTTTCAATGCTAGTTGTACATTGTTTAAACTATTAATATTATCTCCCTGCCACTTTTCATTAATTGTATCTGCGTATTAGTTTTACTACTCGTATTGTATTTATAGAGAGAGAGTCAAGGGTCACGACTAGGCTGTTGTTGCGTTCACGTCGCTCTCAAAAACTATCAGTATTTTACAAGTTTAAAAAGCCAAAACTTCAGTATCTGCACAAGACATGGACTGTAAGTGTATCATCTGTCAAATCGTGTGTTTGTGTGAAGATGGAAATCTCAATAGAGCTATTTCGAGTGCGTGTTGGTTGTTTCACTCAACGTGTCAAGACAACAAAGGATCGCCATTATCGTTCATGGTCAAGGTCAGATCATGACATTCACCTTGTAGCGATCGCTATACGGTTAGTTCTGATCGCATTATTAATAGTATCGGGCGATGTTGAAGTGAATCCAGGCCCACAACCAACAACCAGACAAACAACATTGGCATTTGGAAATGGTAAGGATAAAGATGGGCATGCTGCGTCGGCAT